GGAAGAGCTGCGAGCCACGGTATCTGCACCTCAGTTTCAACAGGTTTGTATGTGATGTTCAATAATTTATTTTTTGTAACATATGACATATAATTATAAGTTGCCCAAATGAAGTGTCTCTTGAAATATTTACATGTTATTACTGTTATTATGCCCCCTGTATATTACCGACTCAGCTGGTGCTGCATGCCCAGTAGGTGGTTATGTAGCTCTGATCCTTCAGTTACAAATTATCAACAGACTAATAAGATTTTCTGGAAATGTATTTGTTATTATCCCTTTTTATTTCCAGACATATGTTTTGTTATTCATTTGCTCAAGAAACACTTTTGCTATAAACTTTTTGGTTTCGGAAAATGTCTTTGTTTTTATCCCTTTGCTCCAGAAATATCATAATTATTGTATATTTAATGTGTGTACCAGACCCAGCTGGTGGTTCATGCCCAGGAGTATCCTTACCCTCTCAGACCTTCTCAGACATGAGTTTCAGAATTCCACTTTTTTTACTAGACCCCAGAGCAATTAAACACCCAAAAATTTATATAAGGTGTTTGGTTCCACAATAAATGTTCAGTTTTATTTTTATTATTATTATTTTTTTTTTTTCTTAAACCTGGGCTCATGTCTGTCTTCTAAAAATACTAATTCTTCCTGTATATTTTATTTCCAGGCTTTGAGTATATTCAGTGGTGCATGTCCAATAGAACGCTAACCCTCTTAGATTTTATTATTATTATTATTATTATTTATGTATCTTTAATTTCCAGGCTCTGGGTACATTAAGTGCTGCTGGTGGTGCATGTTCAGTAGTATGCTAACCCTCTCAGATCTTCTTCTAATACTAATAATAATAATTCTTTCTGTTTGTTCTATTTCCAGGCTCTGAGTACATTCAGTGCTGCACTGGCCTCTGGTCAGCTGGGGCCACTCATGGGGCAGTTTGGCCTGGGAGAAGAGGTGGCCAACGCAGCTGCACAGGGAGGTGAGTTTTAATTGCCTTATATATTTATGTATTTATTTTATTTTTTTCTCATATGCAGGCAAAGTTTTGATGAAAATAGTAACTTCAATAATTCTGGAAACAGCTTTGCATGTTTTTTAATGAAATGATCTGTAAATGTAAAAAAAAAATCGTTCAAATTTCAAATTTGACTGAATATTTGGATGTACAATTTCCTGCTTCTAAGATTGTTTAGATTATAATAACTGTTAAAGTAAGGTTAAAAGTTAATGATTGATAGACTGATTTCTTGGCAATTTAGAAATTTAAAGATCTTAAAAACTTGTGTATTCAAATTTTGTATTTTAGGGCCAAGAAGCTGTAATATTTGTGGATTTCATGAACAATGTTCAGTATAACCCTGATATATCCATTGTATGATATCTTGTTTATGTTTTTCAGATGTTGAGGCCTTTGTTCGTGCAATGCAAAACGCAGAGCAGGGGGGCGAGGGCAAGGATGAGGGAAGGAAAGAGGAAAAGATGGACGAAAGCTAAAACTGTGAAGAACAGTTTTGTGCCTGTTTTGGGACATATTCCTGAAGAATTTGCAAAGATCAGGAACATATCAATATATCACTCAAATTCTAGAAATTGATAAAATTCAGCGACTTACCAATGTTGCTTTCTCACCCTTAGACTTTTCTTTACTGGATATCCAAAAACATTTACTCAATATGAATATATACTAATAAATGCTTAAAAAATTTTAAAGTGATGCTCCAAAGCTGTGGGCTCAAACAGATATTTTTTGATCGCAAATGGGGATTGTTCACGTCATTTGACTTTTTTAATTATTTTGGTTGATTTTTTATTTGTTTATTTATGTTTATTTTTGTAATTTGTGTCATTGGGAAATCTGAGCTTATAAATGCTAGTAATCCTAATTTAAACGCAATTGTATTATTCTGATGTCACTGAGCACACTCTACTTGACACATAGAATTGTCACTGGTGCTTTGAAGAAAATATGTTCCAATAAAAGCCTTGTACTTCTTTTTTGAGCTGCTTTAATGATTATTAATTATTATTTTTAAGTGAAATGAATCTGAATAAAATAACAATGGTCATAGAAAATATTCGTACTAGACGAGAAGTAGTAATAACAGTGGCAGTAATTTAAATTAAAAATCCGCCGATATCCAAGTTGTTTCTGTGCTTTGCTGGACAAATCTAGTTTTAAGTCAGATTATGTTCCAAAACTGAAGTTAAAAACAAACGTGAAATACACCGTCTTTGACATGTCATATCATTTCTCATTTAATTATTTCTCCAACTTTTCGGCGAGCTCGAATTCTCTTTGGTCATAATCGAGGAAAATATAGAGCTCCGCTTGCTTGCGGTTCGTCATGGCCCCCTGCACGGTTAACCCTCCGAAGTCCTTTTGCTTGAAGACGCGAGTTTCTGTGACGTTGTATCTGGACTCGATTTCGTTGTAAACTTCCCTCGAAGCGTGTACGTATTTGTGGAATACCTATAAAGAGAAATAAAGGGAAATTAAAGGACGTTAAAGGTTTATTATTTTATCAATGGAACGTGCCTGAAATTGTGCATAAACAAAACTTAAGCAAGCGTGGGAGTATCTTGGGAAAGTTTATTTTAACATGCTTTTACCTTAAAAAAAGAATATTCTACTACTTCCAATCTTTTAAAAATTATATTGAAAAATTTAAGGAGTTGCTTACTGGCACTAAACGTCTTGGTTCACAGAAGTCTTGTTCTGTGAACCAAGACGTTTAGTGCCAGTAAGCAACTCCTTTAATTTTAATATAATTTTTAAAAGATTACTTGTGTAAAGGATCTCTCTCTCTCTCTCTCTCTCTCTCTCTCTCTCTCTCTCTGTGTGTGTGTGTGTGTGTGTGTGTGTGTGTGTGCGTGTGTCAGAAAGTACCCTGGTGACCCATATAAAACTTCCAATAGACCCAAAGCTAAAGAGAGAAAAAGATAGTAACAATTCTTTACCTGAAATCTGAAATGATTGGCGTCAAACTGGGGCACTTCCCATCCAAAGACCAGGGTGTGGGCGGTTCCTTTAACAGTGTACCCTATGATACCGGAGGAGGACTCGAAAATATTCTTGGGGTTACCTGAAATATTTATATGATCATTAGTATACTGGTAAAGTCGGGACTCGAAAGTTTCCCCGTATTATCCCACTTTGGACTTTTTAAAGTTACAGTAACCTTTGTATTTCTGTATATGGTAATTTAGAGGGCGAACGGTGCCATTTAGTACGGTTAAGAACTATGATTCAGCTAGTCAAAATGCTAGAGCGACTAAAGCGATGAGGATTTTAGAACCCTCGGGCAGTTGGTACCTACCCGAAATGACCAACTTGATTAAAAGCTTTAAAAAAACTTTTAAAATAGACTTCAATTATAAAACAAGGTTTATCAAAATTATATTAAAGGGGTTTTCAAGTAATCCTGATCGTTGATTGGCGTTTGTGATGAAGTAATGGATTAGAACTTTATTTTAGAAAATCCATTCAAATAAATTCTTACAAGGTCAGCTAACACAGGGGTAGTGAAAATTTTTAGCAGTGACGACTTGACTGCAGCAAGTAAGGTTGAATAGTACGCCACGGTCATCTGATAGGCTAGGTGGGGGAGTCAATTCAGTTGGAGGGGTTTAGTGGAGAAAATCCACTCAATCTGAGGGATGTCAGGTGGGGCGACTCCATTCCAAATAAGGGGGTTTTGTGTGGGACGATTCCATTCCATTTAAGGGGTGGCAGGTTGGACGAGTTCATTGCATTAGAGGGGTGACAGGTGGGGCGAGTCCATTGCATCACAGGGGTGACAGGTGGGGCAGGTCCATTGCATGAGAGGGGTGACAGGTGGGGCGATTCCATTGCATCACAGGGGTGACAGGTGGGGCAGGTCCATTGCATTAGAGGGGTGATAGGTGGGGCGAGTGCATTGCAATAGAGGGATGACAGGTGGGTCAGGTCCATTGGGTTAGAGGGCTAATAGGTAGGGCGAGTCCATTGCATTAGAAGGGGCGTCAGGTGGAGCAAGTCCATTGCATTTGAGGGATGACAGGTGGGGCCAGTCCATTCCAATAGAAGGGGAGGCAGGTGGGACGATTCTAGTAATTATCCCGATTTGGTTCAGAGAACAGGAATTGAAGAAATTCTGCTTTACCCTCAGAAATCAAATTTTGTGGACAATTTCAGCCGTATCCATTAAAAAACTAACTTGATTTAAGCTTACATCTGAATCATCCCACCTTTTCATTATTACGTTCAAATATCAAATTAAGTATTTATACTAAGAATAGGCCGCCAAATTAAAACAATTCACGATAAAAATGTCAAAACCCGTCAAAATGGTACCCTCCCTATATAAGAAAATATAGTGAAAATTATATCCAAGCGAATCAGTTCCATATGCTATGGAACAAAAATCTCATGTAAATTTTTTAAAAACCAGGAATGTAAATTTGTATAGATTTGAAGTGTAAAATGTAGGTTGTTGGAAAGCATTTTAGATATTTCAGTGCGCTAAAACAGCTTGGAGGGGTTAATTGGAAAATACTGGCCATTTTACAACTATTTAAAATTCAGGCACCACAGAAAACCGTCAACTTGAAAAACATTGACATTATTTACTGATCAGATTGAATTTGAAAGTACTCAAACACTAAAAAAAACTCATTTTCTTACTATACTTATCATAATAATTTCATAACAAAGTAAAAAATAAAACGCAAAATTACAAAAGTTTTTTTATTGAGTTTTCATATAACAGATGTACGAAGGAGCATGGGTTCCTGTGTGTGAAACAAAGGCTAGACTTCATAGGTTGCTTTCAGGCGGATGCTGTGCAGAATCTCCTTGAGCTCCTGAAAAGATAAAATATTGTTTACAACTTTGATCTAAACAGACAGGCTCTTTACATTCTAATAATGCATTTAATATCACAGGGCAGAGGGCACATATAAATGGAATGGCGTGCACATTTATTAACTAGTCTGATGTTCAGGTTCAGCTAAAACCAAAATTATAATCTGGAATTAGTTAATGATATAACTATTTGAGGCCGCTTGTTAAATAAGTAACATTGATAGCACAGCCCGTTTCATTTGCAGGGTGGGTGAGGTTATTGCTACGACCGGTAATATATTCCTCTTCATATTGAAAGTTATAACACGTGTTGTACATGTTGACGCATTTCAGAGAAAGAGATCGTTTGCAAATTCTCTTCGAAAATTATAACAAATATATTGCACATATATAATAAGTTTTCATACAGTGAACCGTGTAATGGATGCACAACACACGGCACAATGGAGACGACAGGCTGTGTAAAATATGTATCTATTAATCATTGTGTAATGAGCACTCGAAATCCTTGGATCAGAAGTTCAGAATGGTGACAAGCATCCAATTAATTAATGTGGGTGGTAATACTTGCATGTAAACACACACGACATTTTTAATCGGGTCAAAATATTCAAAATTAATTGTCAAGGCCGGGAAACAAAATGTTCAAACAGAGGGTTACAAAGTGCAGAGGATTTCAAGCAAACTTGGGTTATCATCAAAAGTCTGATGAATGCACCGTTTATCCTGAAAATTTGGAGTCCCGGTGCACTGTAAGCAATAATTTCTACCATTCTGAGTGACATACAAGTAACAATGGAAATATGGTAAAAGGATTCATGTCATAAATATTTGTCGTTAATATTTTTCTCATTCTTCTGCGCCTTTAGTATTTAATGACTGTGATTGATGAAGAAATAGTGATACTCACAAACATGCATTTGCTTCCACGCCTTATAAAAGCTCGACCTTCTGACTGCACAGCACATAGGCCTACCGCATTTTGCAAC